AGATGCACTCCGACTACGAAGGAAGCTCCCAATTAGTCGACTCTTACAACATGCTTTTGACTAGGCGGTGGGTCTATTCTTATTTTCCCTATAATAAAGCCCTGGAACCCACACAGGACCTCTTCAAACTGATTATGAAATATCAAAGATTAAAAGATTAAGTCGAGAGGATCGACTTTATAACATCAGATTTCATCCATATGGATCGGTCTCCTTTACAGAATGGCTAAACGCCAGCAAAAACAATCGCACAAAGCAGGAACACCGTAGCTCCGGCGACGATCCTATGGATTACCGTAAAATGTGCACTCGTGAGCTGGATGATGCAGCTGTGAAACAAACCCACGACCTTTAGAGAGCGAGGCAAACGTCTTGACCACAACTACACATAAACCGTCTCCCCCAGATTAGGGCAGATAAAAGGATCTACCATGTGCTATTCCGAATGGATTTGTATAAGTTGATCTTTGTTTCTTTATTGCCGCTTTTGATGCCGGGGATACATATTTGACCTAGTCTCCCCCTTGCTCTGTGGTCATTATAATTCTTCATCATGCCTCTATGTGGCAGTTGCTACTGGAGCACTCTTGTCGCATGGCCAAAAAAAGTGCCATCTGTTGCTCTTTCGTGGATTGTGTTACTGATTTCAGTCCTTGTCTTCTACTTTCTTAAGTGTAATTATTTCATAGTACGAGTGTACTTTTGATAAAAGCAGCATAAAGCTAGGTAACATAGATTCCGACCCCTGGGTTGCACGAGCCGTAATTTAATTTACGCCATCAACTGCAAGGAATGTGGCATTAGATACATCGGTGAAACGGGGTTCTACTGACTGACATGTTCAATTAACATCTGTTTGACGAGCAGAACGACGCCCTGAAACCAGCACCATTGCATTTCAATTCCTAGGACCAATAAAGTGTCCACGACATGGAGGTGACAGTCATTTAATCTAGCCACTCAAGCGACAGAGTTCGGAAGTCTCTTGAAGATCTCTTTATATACACTTTAGGAACTCTGGAGCCCAGTGTACTAAACTGCCAATACAGTATCATCTAAAACCCAGGGGGCTGAATTGACTATCTAGTTTCATCTTATCCTAGAGCGACAGCCCCGAACATTTCCCGGGATATTTGTTTTCCCGGCCCTACGTGCCTCGTTAGACTGTGGCTAGACATCGACCTGGCTGCCTCGAGATACAAAGATAAGTGATATTGTGTATTTGTGTAATATTGACAAATTTATGTATGTGCTGTAAAAAGCCTCATAAGCGCAACGTCCACTATTTCTTTGTGTTTATTGTACTGTAAAGCTCGCTAAAATACTTCTCGTTCTGTTTTATATGGACCTCAGTGTGAAATTTCTACATTCAGCGTTGGTGTCCGTGTAGCATGTTGAAGCTTTAATGCCGTGGTCTGTGTACACCACTTTTCCGTATAAAATATAGTGTTGTCTTGGTTTAATAATAATGCCCAAAAAAAAGTTATATGGTTATAAGATAAAAGATACATATTATGAGTTAAAGGATAAAAAATGTTTTATAGCACAGAACTTTTTTAAGAGAGCCTCTGTGGTCTAGCGGCTAGACGCTCGGTTGCTGGTTGGAAGATCGTGGGTTCGGTTCCTGACGAGGGCAGGTATTTTTGTCAAAAATGTCCTTGGCTTCTAGGTCAACCCAGCCTTGATTGTGTACCAGGTAAGTCCTGGGAAGTAAAGGCGGCTGGTGATACTGACCACATCATCCATCAAGTGCTGCTTGGTCTATAAAATATAGGTCTAGCCCTACATACCCAACACGCCTGAAAGGAAAAGGGTCATGTCCATCACTTATTTATCTCCATCTTCACAATGCACACCTCATTTGAGCTGGCCCCTAAGTAAACTAATCTTATAAGTTGACCTAGACTAAAATTAACATTAGGACATTTAATAAGAAGTAAACGGCGCCGGTATGATTTGAACACATCATTCATCAACTGGGGCGAAATTGGAAAATATAAGGATAATGCCCAACATTTCTCAACAACTCGGGCAGGAGACTTTCATTTTTAAATTTGTCAATGACGGATGGCACAACCACAAATACAGGAAAAAAAACAGTACTTCAAAAGCCATAACACAATCAAGCAAGCAATCAGGCAGACAGAGAGACACACAGACATACAATCGGACAGAGAGACAGACAGATGCACAAATGTAGGCACACAGACTGACTGTCTAATACACAGACACAGGGACAAACCAGCATTCCGGCAGACAGGCAGAGAGAAACACACAGACACACAGACAGGCAAACAGATATAGGATGTCGTTTGTATTAACATTCAGAAATACAATATTATTACTTATAGATTTGAATTGAATCTACTCACATTTATTGTCACAAAGTTTACCATCCCAGCCACACGGAGGCCTACCAAGGGGGGTGACTTCGCTTCCGCCAGGCCAGATTACTGTGTTGTTGAGATATATAAACGCTCGCCCACTGCCCGTATAAATTATCATGGATTTGTTACATATTAAAACTATATATACAAACATACATACAAACACGCACATATATGGACCCAAAGTTAAATTCATTCGAAAACAGATTCCTACTAAAGTTCTTCTTCTTCTTCGTGTTCCCCAGCTGTAAACTCTGGCGGAAAGTTCTGGTTGTTCATCAACTTCTGGACTGCAGTCCTGTTCCAGAACCCGAGTGTTGAGTGTGCATCCGTTTTACAGATCTGACTCATTTGTGGACAGACTGCAGGTTCCTTGCCTCTCAGGCATATGTACTCCGACTTTGAATGAAGCTCCCAATTAGTCGACTCTTACGACATGCTTTTGGATAAGCAGTGGGTCTGTTCTTGTTTTTCCTATAATAGGGCCCTGGAACCCACACGGGGAGATACTGAAGTGAAATAGGACTACTTCAGGACAGGCTAGTAAATAAGAGTAATGTCTGTGCAACCACTGGTATCGATGCTATCGACTGTTATAAGACAAAGAAGATCGCTTTGATATCCTCAGAAGAATTCAAAGCAGGAACTTACATGGGGAACAAATGGGTTGAATAGGTGAAGATGACGTTCAGATATAACCTAAAAGCGAACGTTGATGATAGAAGCAAACAATGTTGGATTAGGGATATTGAAACAGTTGCACATGATAAGACTGAATGAAAGAAGAGACTGTGAAATTAACGTATAACTGTTCATTCTTCTCAAAGCCCGTGCCGTATGGCGTTGGTAATCATGTCTATAAACAACTGTCTGTCTCGTGTATTTTCAAACAACTCTGATACAGGTGATCCTCAATGCCATGATATCAAACTGCCCAGCATCTTTTCTCTCGGTTTTCTTCTGCCTTTTCTCCCCTCCAGCTTTCCTACTGACATGATGTAGTCCAGTGGTCTCCTTCTCATCACATGATCAAAGAATGTTGATTGTCTCTTTCTAATGTTGGCAGTCAGATCTCTTTGTGAATCTACCTCGTTCAAGACATCTTTATTGCTCCTTTTTTAATTAGTCCAGGATTGATTTGATTTGATTCAAGAACTGACATCACAGCACTCGGGGCATTCCCATAAGCGCTCCGTCCCCATCTTTTGCAGCCAGCGAAGAGTTACGATACTTATGGTGCCAGTAGCATTCTGATTAAACGTCCGTCTAGCCTTTCCTCTGAGCCTCGAGCATCTGCCAGAACCTCTCGTCACTCCTCCCTCCATCAATCTCACCAGACTGTGGTGATTCATCTGCTCCTCCGATCTGTACACACTCTCCCACAAGGCATTAACCACGTCTGCCTTATCATGTATCAGTATTCCACCAAGTTTTGCAGAGCCAGCCAGTGTGTCCCCCTGTTCATTTCCCAATACACCGGTGTGCCCAGGTGAAAAAAAATCCAGACAATACTCCTCACCCGTGTCCTCCGCAGCGAAGCATGCCACTCTGCACGAAGCATACATTTTCTGATCTTCATCAGCATGCTTTCTGAGTCAGTTACAATCACGATGTGTGTGTATGTCGTGTTATCTAGCCAGCAAAAAGCTGCAGTGACCGCCTCCACCTCCATTCTTAAGCTAAATGTTGTGGTATCATATGCTAGGCTCTCCTGCACCAAACGTCGACCATTAACTTTTGCTAAGAAGCCTCAAGCACTTCTTTTGGCTCAGTACAGGAAAGCCTCATCATTCTCCTTAAAAAACACCACATATCTGCAGCATCCAAATATGTTTTCACTAATCTACCAACTGTCCAAGATTTACTTCCGTATATCAAGACAGGATATTCATATATTTCTGGGATTCTTATTCTCACCTAACTGACAAAGACAGATTTGCATACGAGTGCATAACGGCACAAAGAGATAATCATGACAGTTGTGGTCCGTTTGTACATGTTTTAGCGATATGCTTTCCGATAACAATAACATCACGAGGAACAGAAAGACAAGAGTGGGGCCAGACGGTGCGTGTTAGACAGCCTCTGTGTGGGAATCCCTGGAGAAGAAATAACTTTCGCAAGACAAAAGACTGTGAATTGACATTATGGCAAATGTTACACGACTTGGACTAAAAGATAAACATATTTTAACTCTTCCAAACCACCAGAGTACAATTTAAATGATTATAAATCAATGCCTGGTGGGTTCCTTGGTTCCCAGTGAGTTTAAGTGTGGTTTTGGGATTGTGAGAAGATACATATTTATTTTCTCACTGTGCAGTAAGTTAGGAAAAGACACGTAAGATGCAAAGTTACTTTTTTTCTGTGTTGAAATGATTATGAATGAAGGAATCAATGAATGAATCAAGAACTGACATCCTTGTACTTGAGACATTCCCACACTTGCTTCGTTTCCCTCTTCAGTAACAAGCGTTGAATGAAGTCTTTTAGTGTATGGATTAAATATATGTTCTTTTGCACTGTCTTTTTGATCCCATTGAGCCCTCATCACATCCGCTTATCTGATAGTAGCTCACAGCCCAGAGGAAAGGCAGCAGCTAATTTATCAACCTGCTTATGAGAGTACAAGGATAATGTGAATAATTATTGCAGTTGTAATTTATAAGTTGTCTTTCTATACAGTGAAAGTTGTCTTCAGTGAATATAAGTACATTCACAACTTTCTTTGTGAATATTACTTTCATAGTGAAGTCTCAATGTCTTACACGGTGCTACTTCCGAATCTTAATTGCATGACTTCTAAAAATCAATAAGGAAAAGACAAATACACATTTCTGTTAATTAATTATTATTATTATTTTAGAGCACACACACACACACACACACACACACACACACACACACACACACACACACACACAAAACACTCTTAATGGCTAAACAAGACAATGTCTAAATGAGAATCAAACTGAAGCGAATCTAAAAAAAAAAAAAAAACAAGCTTTATCGTTTAACGCTGTTTACAGGCATCAACATATTGCCAAGTAATTTAATGTTTAATGCGGGTGGGATAACTAAAACATAGAAGCACTGACACACTGTTAGCTAATAAGCATATTGTGTTTTTTTTTTAAGGAACACCAAATCTGCATTGTATGTCTTAAAATGTGCGCAGTTACAGTCCGCAAAGCACTATTCTAGAGTTACTGCACAAAAATGGATGCAATGTTAGTGATGTATTGACACACACACACACACACACATAATATATATATATATATATATATATATATATATATATATATATATATATATATATATATATATATATATGAAATTAAAACATAAATATAAAAAATGCCTCAGAGGTGCAGCAAAGATTATGTACAGTGTAACCTGTGGACAGAATTAGTTTACAATGGAAACACAATGTTAACCAGTTATTACAAAATATATTTCTATCAAGCATGCCTAACCAGTGACTACAAAAAAATTATTTGGGTATTAACAATGCGATATGATTACGAAAAAGCAACAATTTAAAACATTTAACATTCTAAGTCTTTACGAACTGAGTTAAATACAACACCAAATATAAAAATCATAACTACAACAGAGCTTAAAATAGCCACGGTCAACATGAGACCGAAAATTTGTAACTGGATAAAATCTGGGCAGGAAAGGCTTTATTCATCCTCATCATCATCAGGTGCCTTGCCGACTGGCGTGGGCGATCATGTCTCCCCATAATCTACGATCTCCTGCAGTATGTATCAGTTCGGGTGCCGACACACCTCCATGCCATGCAACAAGACTGTCAAGAATCCTCTCTCGTTGTCTTCTTCTATCCATACTTCCATATATCTTTCCAGTGGTCACAACATGTTATTTTTTCCCTCTTGTCATAACATGGCCGACAAATTATGACTGTCTTCTTCTGGTGTCTGTGATAAGTTGTCTTCGGGCTCCTGCCTTTTTCAAAACCTCTTGGTAGCTCTTTTTGGCTGTCCAAGGTATTCTAAGCATTCTTCTGTAAAACAACAACCCTGAAGCCTCAAGAAATTGTTTAACCTGCCTACCGATTGTCTAGGATTCACAGCCATATGTTAAAACTGGATGTATATAGCAAGCAAGAATTCTTTTTCTAACTCTCAATGACAAGGACATATTCTATAAGATGTTCTTCATTTTATAAAATGCAACTTTTGTTTGTCCTATTCTGTTTCTTATCTCAGTTATGCATCTTCCATCTGATGTTATCCATGTGCCCAGATACTTAAAGGCTTTAATACGGAACAAAAAAACTGAGAAAGCTTAGAATATATTTTGAAACATAAACAAGCAAAAATAACATTGAAAAACGTTTTACGAAATATTATTCCCTAAGAACGTCGAAACAATGAATTAATGGCTTTTCAGAATCACACTTCATGTTGTGTATAGTATTTCTTGATACCTGCCCTACTGCAATCATCTCTCTCTCCCTCTCCCCCCCCCCCTCTCTCTCTCTCTCTCTCTCTCTCTTGATGTACCCCACCAGGACATCACAGAAGCGATAAACACCCAGTGACACAAAGTGCCACCATGCGGATGAGGATCACCCCTGGAGAGATCCCATAAACCCCTTTAAGCCGTTACGCCCTATTTATCACCGGGCGCCCAGGAAAAGGGTGGGACATAACAAAAAATGGCATCTTACATGGGGACAACTATAATAGTACTATAACAGTAATTATCCCATTTAAAACACATTATATTCTGTACACTCTGCGGCTTGAACGATATACAGAAACATATAAAATGCATAAATATCCCAATATACTTCAGTAGCGTCTGTGGCTTAGGTGTTGCGAACGGGCTTCATAATGAAGGGGTGCCGGGTTCGATTCCAGCTGCGGATGATTTGTCTCACTTTGGTTTCGACAGTGGTACCGAGAGCTGACTGTTCAGTGCAACGGCAAACTACTGAACGTAAAATGTGCCTGGAAAAACCACAACAGACAAAAAATGCTGGGGTTGGTTCTACTATGTCCTGTAAAGGATACACAACTAACTAATCAGCTAGCACTACCCTATCGAGATTTCAGGGTCATTT